GGTGGAGGGGGCGGGGGGCACAAAGCAGAGGAGCTGAGATGCAGGATGGCACCCTTGAAGGTAGTGCAAGGTATCTCCTTCCCAACCTCCCCTACCCATGCAGTCAGTTTAAAGACACCTTGAGAGTTTCATGGCAATACTGATAACCCCACGCCGTCCTTCTTGGCAGAAAGGCTCCAAGGAAATGCGATCTCAGCTGTAGTGGTTCATCCTATTGCCAAGGAAGACAGCTTGTCATTACTTCATTCAAACAAAGCTTATTTTAAAAGGCAACAATTTTAATTTTTTTTACTCTACATTTCCTCTGTATTATGAGATATGTTTTACAACCCTGTCCTGTTAAATGTCTGAGTGCAGCCTAAACAAGGACCTGTTGGACAGACTGGGAAGATTTCCACAGGTATGAAGGAGCTTTCGAGCATGGCCCTAGGCAGCACAAACCCTATGTCTGCTTTCAGAAAGGGAGCAGGTCTGTGTGCTTGCTGCTTTTAACTAGGACACGACCGCCCTCGACGAGGCATTGCTTTCAGTGTCACCATCCCTGTTTCTCTTGGCTCACCCAGTTCTTATTTCTTTTCTTTTTTTTTTTTTTTCTATAGAAATATATATATGGAATAAGAGAAGTGACAGGTCTCCTTTTGTTATGCCATACTTTTTAAATTTCTGGGGCTTGAAGCCTGTGGCTTGCAAGGATGTATGATAAAGCCAGGTGCTCCATACTACCTTCTGTTGTCCTATTGAATATTACATTTGGGATGCAGACTCTTCCTTTTTGCAGTCCTGGTGATGTTCTCAGCAGCCCTAGGACAAGAATGAGACATGACTTCACCTGAAAGTTAATTCACACATGAACCGTCAGATCCATTGTCCTCTTCTGTCTTCCCTCCTCTAGTGAATAACAATATTCATCAGTCCCTTAGTGCAGAGAGACAAGATAGTTATTCTGCCTTTTCCTTCTTCCCTCTAAAGAAATCCTCATTTTAACAGATTCTTTGAGACCTGCTGCACAAGCTTGTTGTCAAGCATTGGAATGGGCTGCCCAGGGAAGTGGTCGAGTCCCCATCCCTGGAGGTATTTAAAAGATGGGTAGACAAGGTGCTTAGGGACATGGTTTAGTGATGGAATGGCAGGATTAGGTTAACCATTCGACTTGATGATCTTAAAGGTCTTTTCCAACATAAACGATTCTATGGTTCTAAGCTCCTGCCTGCCCTCAGTCCAAGCTCCTGCCATTGAGGAGATTTGGGAATTAAGGGGTCTGGAAGGTGTCCTTTAGTGCCAAACACTGTCCCTAGCACAGGGTGCTCTGTGTTAAGGTGTTAACTTTCTTCACATTTCAGTTTCCATTAAACTTGTTTCCTTCTCACAGCCATTGTCGTGCAGTCCTCAGTGAAGCAAACTTCCACCAGTTTCCTGGCTGATGCAGTGACAGTGACAACTGGGTAAGAGCCACATACTTTAGCGTTGAAAATGCAAATACATATTTATAAGACTAAACTGCTAAAATACCAAAGTGTCAACTGGTTCCATGTGCAGTACTTCAGCTCTAGGGTAAGCAACTTGCTTGTGAGCGTATTTGCATTTTATTCAGCACTAGGGAAAAATGGTTTCAGGGTGACAAAACTGACACTTTTTAAGTCTTCAGTTTCCTCTTTCTCTTAAAGTTTAAAGTAGAACTTTCCAATGCAACTTATCATTAGCGTTTGACAGCACTCTTGAGTTCCCCTTGCAGCATTAAAACTTACTTCATGCCCCTCATGGCTGTATTCCTTTTATGCCTGTAACGTGGTGACCCTGAAATGGGAAGGGAAATGCTTTGCTTCAGTGACTATTCCTGAGGTCAGGATTATTGTAACTGAATGCACTCGTATACCAAACCAACTCTTCTCAGGAATGTAAAAGTCATTTTGCTTCAGTATTGAGATAGTGAAGATCACCACTCAGAGTAAAGAATGCAGTTAGGGCTTCAGGTCTTCTGCTGCTCTTGCTGAAGCAGCACTTGGAGTAAACCCAGACTCAGTGTTGCTGTTCACTGGCTTTTCTGCTCTGCTATGACCTTTACAACTTGTGGAAGCAAGGCTGATACCTGCCTGGTCCAGTTACAAAGATGCCAGTGATCTTCATACTGCAGCTCATCTGGGATTCGTGATATAAATTACACGGAGTTGGATAGAGGCACCAGCTGGAAAAGTACCAAGCAGCATCAAGATGTCTTGAGATAAATAGAAATAGACAGCAAAAGATCCAAGATGATGCAGGTCCTGGAGGTGAGCCTGGTGAGGCCAACAAGTCATTCTGTCCCTGGTTAATTATTCTCATTTTATTCCTCCCGATCCAGATACAACCTTGGCAAAAGCTAAATACCACGGAGGGTTGCTTCATCTGACAGTCAAATGCCTTTGACAGCACGTAGACGTAGACAGTTACAGCACATGAGAGAACAAATGTTCTTCTTTTATACATGGCTCATCGGCCCAAACTTGCAGTTGGCACATTATTGGATGAAGAGCAGAAGTGTCTGTAAAACGTATAAGGTTCACCAAAACAGTGCCTATGGAACTCTTCTATCACACCACAACAGAGTGCAGTTTATGTGTCCCACATGTATTGCAGACAGTTCAGAGAAAAATAGGAATATTTTTAATTCTTTCACATTCCCTAATGTATATTTGCCCTTCTAAGAAAATTACTTTGGAATGCACAAATGTTTTATAAATTTTTATCTGTTTTCAAACCTTTGTCTTGGTTCTAGTCAGCAAAACTCACAGCACTGAGTTCAGCCCTGACAGAAAACACATGGGCTTTAATTTCCATTAATTGCAACCAGTTACCTTATTGCTATTTATTCATTATTTTTACCTATTTATTATTAACTAAGCATTTCTCATCAGACATTATATGCTGAGATTTGGTGTTATCAGTTTTATCTACAAATGCTGGTTTTCTGCAGTTCACAGAGCCTTGGAAAATTAAAATAACAAAAACAACTTCATCATAGTAGATTGTCCTATCTGCATTTGTTGAGAAAATGTAAGTCGCAGAGCTGCCGGAAGAAACTGTTCCTATTAATCCCACCCCACTTAGGGATTAGTTGCATGTATCACATACATATTTCATATCATTTCACCTATTACATTATAATATTGCTCTTTATAATGATCTTTTTATAGTACTGCCGAACCTATAAGTACTTAATTTTCCTTTAATAGAAAAGATTGTTGTCCCGGGATCAATGTCTCCCACAGAGAAAGTAAACATCTGTTTTGCAAAGCATTTCTAAAGCAGCAGGAGACCATTATCCTGTGACAACATTCTATTACAATTACTTTATTGCAGTCAGGCAAAATGAGTGATGTGTAGCAAATTTATTCTTTTTTCACATCCTGCCAAACCTTCCTGTTTTTTATCCAATGACTTCCATCTGGAGTATTGCCTGGAAGGATGGCTGGGGCATTCTGCCATTTGTCATTAGATCTGTTGAATTACGATTGGCCTAAAGAACAGATCAATTTTATGTTTCAGCTACTCAGAAATAAAGTTCATGGGCAAGATACAGCAGATTCACATTGTCCAAAGTTGATGTTCTAGTAATCAGGTTATGTTTGAGTCCATCGTGTTGCACGGCATATTATTGAAGGAGTAATTAATCTACTTTGCACTGCGAGATGAGATACTACATAATGAAGGCAGCAGAATCTGGGTCTTAGTGCTCATGAAATGTCATCAATCTGTGACCCTCAGCACACTGCTAAGAGTTTTGTTCTCATGGATGAGAAAAGCAAAGTACCGGTGACTGATATCACGAGTCTCGCACTACATAGCAGATCAATAGCAAAATCAGGAATTCCTTGTTGCCTAATCTAACTCCAAGACAACTTTAATCAGAATCAATTGGTTTGAAACATGAATGGTGAACCTCAGATCCATTTGTAATTTCAGGGATTTCACTATACACACTTACAGAATCATAGAATGGTTTGGGTTGGAAGGGACCTTTAAAGGTCCAACCCCCTGCAATGAACAGGGACATCTTCAACTAGGCCAGGTTGTTCAGAGCCACGTCTAAGCTGACCTTGAATGTTTCCAGGGATGGGGCATCTACCACGTCTCTGGACAACCTCTTCCAGTGTTTCACCATCCTTATCATAAAAAATTTCTTCCTTATATCTAGTCTAAATCTACCCTCTTTTAGTTTAAAACTGTTACCCCTTCTCCTATCGCAACAGGCCCTGCTAAAAAGTCTGCCCCATCTTTCTTATAAGCTGCCTTTAAGTGTTGAAAGGCCACAGTAAGGTCTCCCTGGAGCCTTCTGTTCTCCAGGCTGAACAAGCCCAACTCTCTTAGCCTGTCCTCATAGGAGAGGTGCTCCAGTCCTCGGATCATTTTTGTGGTCCTCCTCTGGACCCGCTCCAACAGGTCCACCTCTTTTTCCACTGTGGATCCCAGAACTGGACACAGTGCTCCAGGTGGGCTCTCACCAGAGCAGAGGGGAAGAATCACCTCCCTTGACTTTCTGGCCATGCTTCTTTTGATGCAGCCCAGGATATGGTTGGCCTTCTGGGCTGCAAGCGCACATTGTTGGTTCATGTCCAGATTTTCATCCACCAGCACCCCCAAGTCCCTCTTGGCAGGGCTGCTCTCTGTCCCTTCATCCCCCAGACTGTATTGATACCAGGGGTTGCCCCAACCAGGTGCAGGACCTTGCACTTGGCCCTGTTGAACCTCATGAGGTTCACATGGGCTTACTTCTTGAGCTTGCCCAGGTCCCTCTGGATAGCATCCTGGCCCTCAGGCATGTTAGCTGCAGCACTCAGCTTGGTGTCATCTGCAGACTTGCTGAGGATGCACTCAATCCCGCTGTCTATGTGATCAGTGAAGGTATTAAACAGTACCAGTCCCAATACAGAGCTCTGAGGGACAACACTTGTCACCTGTCTCTGTCTGGACATCGAGCTGTTGACCTCTGAATATGACCATCCAACCAATTCCTCATCCACTGAACAGTCCATCCATCAAATTCAAATCTGTATCTCTCCAATTTAGAGAGAAGGATGTTGTAGGGGACCATGTCAAAGGCCTTACAGAAGTCCAGATAGATAGACAATAACTGTAGCTCTTCCCTAGTCCACTGATGTAGTCACTCCATCATAGAAGGCCATTAGTCAGGCATTAGTCAGACAGGACTTGCCCTTGGTGAAGCCATGCTGGCTGTCTCAAATCGCTTCCCTGGCCTCTATGATGATCTTCCCAGACACAGAGGTGAGGCTTACAGGCTGGTAGTTCCCAGGGTCCTCCTTTCTACCTTATTTAAAAACAGGAGCAATGTTCCCCTTTTTCCAGTCACCAGGGACTTCACCTGACTGCCTGCCATGACTTTTCAAATATCATGAAGAGTGGCATAGCAACTACAGCAGTCAATTCACTCAGGACTCCAGGATGTAACTCATCAGATCCCATGACCTGATTACGGCCTTTCAGTACCTAAAGGGAGCCTATAGGAAAGATGGGGAAAATCTTTTCAGTAGGGCCAGCTGTGTCAGGACAAGGGGTAATGGTTTTAAACTAAACCACGGTAGGTTTAGACTAGATATAAGGAAGAAATTCTTTACAATGAGGGTGGTAAAACACTGGAGCAGGTTGCCCAGAGAGGTAGTGGAGGCCCCTGGACAGGTTGGATGGGGCTCTGAGCAACCTGATGGAGTTAGCAGTGTCTCTGCTCACTGCAGGGGGGTTGGACTAGATGACCTCTAGAGGTCCCTTCCAACTCAGAACATTCTATGATTCTATGATTCTATGTATGTTGACATTCCTCAGGTGGCCACAAACCTGACCTTCTTTTACGGTGGGAGGAACTTTGCTCCCCTAGTCCCCATCTTGCGGTCCATCCACTCAAGAGGTATAGGAGGAGAGGTTGCCAGTGAAGACTGAGGCAAAAATGTTGTTGAGTACCTCAGCCTTCTCCTCATCTGTTGTTACCAGTTTGCCAGTCTTGCTTTTCAGGAGGGTACACTTTCTTTGACCTTCCTTTTCTGGCTGACATAACTATAGAAGACCTTCTTACTATTCTTTGCATCCCTCGCCAAATTCAGCTCCATCCACACCGTGGCCTTCCTGACCCCATCACTACACAACCGGGCAGCGTCCCTATACACTTCCCAGGATACCTGTCCCTGCTTCCACTGCCCATGCATTTCCTTCTTGCCCTTGAGTTTGACCAGCAGGTCTCCACTCATCCATGCCAATCTCTTCCCTTCCTTGCTTGACTTCTTACACCTGGGAATTGAGAGCTCTTGCGCTCTATGGAAAGCATCCTTAAAGATCTGCCAGCTCTGTTCTGCCCCCTTGTCCCTGAGGGCAGTTTCTCAGGGCATCCTATTGACTAGCTCCTTGAACAGCTGGAAGTCTGCTCTCCTAATATTCAGGATCCTGATTTTACTCTTCTGGCTTGCCAAAGAAGGATCAAAACAAGATGTCAAGGATGTGGAAGGAGATAAATGGTGGAGGAAGCTACTGAGGGAGTGGGGGAAAAAAAAAAAAAGAATGCCCAAATAACAGTGCTTTGACTCAGATTATTAGGTCAACTGAGATTGCAGATCTCAGGGACAACTTCTGAGGGAATATAGCTTCAATGAATTGTCTAGAAGGAAGACAGAGCTGGCTAAATACTAAGACTTAAAAATTTATAAATTATAAAAGAAAAATATAGCATAGCACTCAAACCCTCTCATTTCCATTTGGCTTGCATGGAGAGCCAGATTTACTGAATTCAACACTGGGTGAGGTAAACTGAACCTTTTCTTGATCAGCACTCCTGTGTCGTGAGTTGTTAACAGGTAACAGAGGCCCCATGAGTTCTCCCTCAGAGTTACCTATAAACCGCATTCAAACTTATTTAGAACACCAAAACAAGAAGATGCTGATGGGCATTTTAGATGCTGGTCTAGAACTACCTCACCCCAGCACTCTCTACAGCTGAGTCAAGCCACTATTTATAGAAGAACAGCTCTCTACAGAAACCACTGTGTTTTCACTGTTGCAACTGTATTTATCCCAGATAGACCTCCTGCTATAAGCAGTTTTTGTAAGGATATCAACGTCATCATTCAGGCTAATCCAAAGAAAATATAATGATAGCTACATTTGAGATTAAAACCAATTTGTTTTCAAGCATCCTCTGTATCGTAGTGGGAGTTCAAACAGACATTTTTCTAGACTTGTGGAGCAGCTCACTGCACTCTTCATATACCACGAGAATCCAAGATGTCAAGGGCTTTAAGAGCTTCTTGTGTCCTAGGCAGAGGCTGAGTTGAACCAGGACTCCCACATTTTCTCAAATGGCTGCTAGGACTGCCTCATCTCCTGAGGAAAAGCAGAGCTGATGTCCATGGGGCAGGGTACTCCTCCTGTCCTGCTGCTCTGGCTTGCTTGTAGGAATTCCCCTTGGCAGTCTCTCGCACAGCACATGATATTTGCCAGGCAGCACTGGGCTAGGGATGGGCAGCTCTGGAAGCAAAGGCAAGGAGTTAGCAGGTAGGTCCTGAGAAAATTGGGGTAGTGACAAAGTACTGACGAGGCTTTACCAGATTTTACCAAGCTGACCTGATGGAGGGGTAGTTTGCTAAGGCAAGCAATGCTGCACAGCATCTGGGAGATGACCAGCCTGCAGCAGAGCTTGTATGAGGAGGGTTTTCTTGACTAGCTCATCCAGGACCTGGCTGGGACCGTGACCGCAGGTTCTACCAAAGGAGGCCAAACCAGTGTATGTAGTACAGTGTTGTACTGCACCTTCCCTAGTGTCGTCCGAGCAAGCTGGTCCTTTCCACAGATACTAGATATTTTATTACAGTTCATCTCTTCACAAATGGACACCTTATAACAGATGTTTTCCAATTTAAAGATTGCAAAATGTAAATCATTGTTATTAATGTTCTCTCACCAACTGGCCTAAGATTAACTCACACTGGCATCTTGTCTGATTAGATTACCTTTTTCTTTTTTGTCTTAAGGACAGGAAATCACACAATATTTTACCAAGACTTGTTTAAAGGTGAGACCTCATATCATATAACAAATGGGAGCACTTTCTCTTGGAAGCTTCTTTGCAACTCATAATGGATGAACTGATTAACAAATTTTCTCAATGACTTGCTCCCTTGAAGCACAAAAAGGAGTGAAGAGGTTTTACTTATATATAGTTTCAGCAACAGGAGGGGGTGGGGAGAGAGAAAGCGTGTGCTCGTACCTATAGATGTAGATAATAAAAAACTATTAAGATAGTACCTGAGCAAATAAAAAATACCTACAATATCTTCCTACAGGATATTATTCACTGAACACAGCCAGCCAAAATGTTGTCCAAATGAAAGATCCTGTTGAGCTTCCAGATAAAATCTATTGTAATAAAATCTACTCTATTTCACCCAGCGATGGCAAACGATCTTATTGTGAAAGCAATTTCTGCAAGCAGGTCTCTAAATGTACATAGCTCCTTATAATGCTGGTACGACTGTCCCAGCCTCTTTGACTGGTCGTATCTTCAAAGTGAACTTCAGTTTGTCTCTGCTTAATGTTGTTTAGTGGTTTTAAGCACTTAGCAGTGTTCAGGAACCTTACCAGATGTGCAGCTATCTAACCTGCTGATGTCCTGGCTACTCATGTAAAAGAATCCTAATATTTTAGAGAAATTTTTACAAAAGTTGCAAAATATGGTGACTTAAGTTTTAGCATCAGTTCAGAATCCATTTTTCTGTTCCTTCCATTCTTCTCTTGCACCTTTAGTCCTTGAAAACATAATTGCTCTTTTTACCTCATTCTTCAATTTCACTTGGCTCCTTAGAACAAGGCTACAGGTAAATACCAAGGTAAATTATTTTCCTGTCATTTAGTTCCTGTCACTTTGGTTTGGTCCAGGAATATAACTTTCAAATAGGAGCACTTGTGAGACTCAGGACACTGTCACTCTTGCTGATGTTGCTTAGCATCAGGATGCCACAATTTCATATTCCAGAGTTTCTTGTGTTCTTTGCAAAACAGACCATTGGTTCCCAGAGGAATATTTCTATGCAGAGAGTAGCGCGAATATTAATGGGAAAGATGTGCACTGAGAGTGTTTAAATAAATATATTTTATAATGGTAACACAACTGGAAAATCATGTATATACATATATGTAATTTCAGCTTCAGAATTTGAGTTGGACTCTGTCTAAAATGTTCTGTTGGGGGGGAGGGAGAGGAGACAAATAAACAAAAAAAAAAGGAAAATATAGGGGGGAAAGCCCAATCCTTTTCTTTATGAAAAACTAATTGATTCTCAAGTCCTCTTTCATGTCAACATATTTTTTGCAAAAAGTCCGAGTTACTGTGAGGGAATCATGCATCTGGGGGGGTTGCCATGTGTTTGCCATAACACCAATATTTTACTTTTGTGCCATGTTTCATTTCAAGCTTCTCAAGGTGATTTGCAAGCAATTACAAAGCAAATGTCTATAATGTGAATAGGCTTGGACAACCAACCACAATTTCACAGTGGATTTAAAAGCACTATGGGCCAAATCCAGTAGTTTTCATCCATACTGATGTCAGCTGGGGTGCTCAGCACCTTGCAGGAAATCCTCAGGACTTCTCTGAATCAGGCCCTGGGTGAATCAGTCTCAAAATCTTTTACAAGAAAGAAAAAAAAATCCACAGGCAAGATACGTACTGCTACAATAGGAATTTAACTGCTTGTAGCAATGCAAAAATAAATCCTAGCTACCAAAAACATTTGCTGCTAAAGGAACAATGTTTTAAAAAACTGGTCTCTTCAGATAAATAAAACAGATGTGCAAAGTGTTTTTACAGAAAAGTACCATTAAGACCCTGAAACAATGGAACTGACTTAAGAGAATGGCATTTAGCATTCTGCAATTAAAGCCGATAGGTAAACCAGATTTATGGAATATTTCTCTT